TGGCGGCAGCGGCAGCAGGCGCAGCAGGACGTACTGGATGTGCAGCTGCGGTGGGTGGAACTGGGACTGGCGCACCGCGTGCCTTGGCCGTGGGCGCGCTGCCCCGCCATGGGCGCTGGAAGCAGCAGCAGCCAAGGCCAAGCCCCAGGCTGAGAAGGGCGGCTGGGTGGATCAGCCGCGCGGGCGCCGTGCCCAGCGGCAGGCCCGCAGTGCTGCAACGAGCGCGGCCACCTCCAAGTCGCAGGCATCGGCGTCGGGCGCCAGTGGGACGCCCAGCGGCAGCGGCGCCACGGCGATCGAGAGGCTGCAAGTGGCGGTCGAGCAGCTGGGGGCGCTGCAGGCAGAGCCGCCCGACGGGGCCGATTGCTGCTTCACCGACGCCGTCGCCAGCCAGTTGGAGGCCAAGCGCGCCGAGCTGGCAGAGGCCCAGCGGGCTGCAGCGGAGCAGAAGGCGCCCCCCATGCCGCTGTCGACGATGCTCCACAGGGAGGCGAACGCCATCAGCAAGGCGGAGAAGCGCCTCCGAGCAGCGCGCCAGAGCCTGGAGCAGAAGCAAGCGGCACGTGGCCTCGCCGAGGCCCAGCTGCAGAAGGCCCAGGAGGAGCTGGCGCAGCTCGACGCGGAGGTGGAGGAGGCCAGCCGTGCGCTCCACGTCCTCGAGGAGGAAGCCCGAGTGGAGGCCGCTGCGCAGCTGCGTCAGCGCGCGGCCGAGTGGGCAGGAGCCAGCCAGGTCCCAGGGCTCCTCATGCAGCTGGACAAGCTGCCCGAGGCGTGGGGCTCCAGCAAATTCGAGGTGGCGCGGGCGGCCATTCGCTCCCAGGTGGAGGCGGTGCGCGCGCAGCTCGCCGAAGCCCCCGCGGTACCGAGGAGAGTACCCTGGACGGAGTCGTGCCCCATTGACGAGATCAGCAGCGAGGACGGCGACCACGCAGGAGGCTGCAGGCCTTGGCAGCCGCAGTGCGCAGCGGAGCGCGGCCAGGCCGAACGTCACGGCGACGCCCACGGCGAGTGGCCGAAGGTCGCCCAGGCGTGCAAGCGGGAGCTGGCGGCCGAGGCTGAGGACCTGGCCCCTCTTGCCGCTCGCCCTGCTGGCCGCGCCGCTGGGAGTCGCGGCGGAGGCGAGAGGCCACGGCAGTCGTGCGTGTAGCCACGCCAGAGGCGCTAAGCCTAGGCAGCAGGAGGGCGGCGGCACCGAAGCGGCCCGCATCGGCGGCAAGCGGCCCCTCGACCTCGGGAGCGTGCAGGCCCCACCAGCGCCAGGCCAAGCTGCGACGGCAGCTCAGGATGTCCGCTGCGGGCTGGAGGAGCTTGGGTTCAACGGCAACGCTTGGAGGAGGAGCCTGGAGGTGATCGAGGCCTTGGACTCTCGCAACAGGGCCCCGCCGCACCTTGTGATGCTCCAGGAGTCCTGCCTGGCTCCGCACCGCCTGGAGGAGGCCAGAGGAGCAGCGCGGCGCATGGGATATACGGCGTTCCTCCACGCGTCGGCGCCCACGGACGAGGAGGGCCCGCTGGCGAACTCAGGCGGCGTCGCAGCCTTGAGGCATTGCTTGATTGGAGTCACAGTGCCCACTGCGTCAGGCCTGCAGCTGCTGGCGCGCTCGCTGTACCTCCAGGGCGCCCTGGGACCCAAAGGCTTCAACCTCGACATCTTCGCCGCCTTCGGCGACATCGTGCTCTACCAGAGACTGCGGTTCATTTCTGTCGTGGGCCTGGCCGCCGAGTCGTTCAGCACCAGCGGGACAGTTTTGGCGGGGTGTGCGTGTGCCACCACTGTGGCCAAGCTGCCTGGGCTGGCAGTCCTCCGCGCCGCCTCAGCGGGCGCCAGGCCACCGGCTGTCGCTCGCAACGTCGTCGGCGACATCGCGCTGCAGGCCGTGGGCACGGAGCAGCTGGTGGCCGCGCGGCTCGGCAGCGCTGGGCTGGAAGTGGCTCGCCGCCTCCGCGTTCAGCACCTTCCCCTCGGCGCTGCCAAGACGACCTCCCTCGCTTCGAGCCCCAGCCTTGGACGCCAGCTCGGGGCGCGCTGGGAATCGCAAGGCTGGACCTTCCGCAAGACCTTGCAGGCCAGGGATCTCGACACGGACACCGCCAACACGAGGAGAGGAGTACATGAGGGCCGAGTCCGAGCTGCAGGGGCACTTCGCCGAGCGCGCAGGCTGGACCCGACCCGCAAGGCTGGGCCCACGGCCAGCATGGTGCGCGGTCGCACGGTCACGGGCAACGCGGACGGCGAGCTACACAGATGGAAGCTTGCAGCCTGCCGCAGCGCAGGAGCGCTCCCCATGAGCGCGGAGCGAGGGCTGCGCATGCGCTGTGCCGAGCTCAGGAGGAGGCGTAGCCTGGATCCTGCAGCCCTCACGGCAGGCCACGCAGTCCAGACGATGGCGGGCCTGCTGCAGACAGGCGAGCTGCCGCCCAGGATGATGGAGCGGGGGCTGGAGGCGGCGGCGACCAGGCGCGCAAGAGCTGACACGCCATGGAAGCACTGCGCCTCCCCCTTCGACGCGGTGGTGCTGATCCGTGCGCGGATCGACTGGCACTTCAAGTCCGAGCGGTGCATGGTCACGGACCTTGGCGATGAGCTCGACCTCATGCACCTCGGATCTCGGGAGCTGGGCTTGGAGGCTGGCCCTGGCGCTCGGCGCGCATCCGTTCGTCACGAGACGCGGAAGCTCAGCCGCGACACCCGCCTGCAGCGGCCACTGCACTGGGACGCCATCGGACGCCTGCTCGGGCCAAACGGCGGGCCCAGAGTGAGGGAGCAGAACGTGCTCGGGGCCTACATCTCCAACACGCACTGGACGCAGGCCAGGCTCCTCGATGTGCTCGAGGCCCAGCGGCGCGACGGAGTGTCGGCACGGCTGAAGCAGCGTGCAGAACGAGCGCGGGCCCTAGGCGAGCGCGCAGGCGACAACTTCGGCCGCTGCCAGCTGCCCGCACCAGAGCCACCGCAGGGTCGCCGCACCGACGCCATGTGGGTGCAATGGGCCTGCAGGCCAGCCGATGATAAGCTCAACGGCAAGCTGTACCTCGATGGCTCGGCGCTCGAGCCGCAGTTCGGCGCCGTGCGCTGTGAGGGCTGGGCCATAGCGCAGTGCGACGTCGACGGCAACCTGGTGACAGGGGTCTACGGCACCGTTTGGCGCGACCGCTGCCCGCAGCAGAAGGCCACGGACGGCGAGGACTTTGCTGCCTGGATGCTCGCCGCCTTTGCGGGGCCAGCAGTGGAGGAAGTCAACATCGACTGCAGCCCCGCAGTGTCCTGCCTGCGGAGAGGGCGCGCGGACGCCACCGCGCCCAGCAGGGCGAACGCCCACCGATGGTGCATGATTCTGGCAGCCTTCGGGCCAGGCGCTTTCGAGGTGAAGAAGGTGCCAGCCCCCCGCTCAAGGCAGGCAGTGCTCGACGGGCTCCTGACGGAGGCCCAGAGGCACGGCAACGAGCACGCCGACCGCCTCGCCGAGATGGGCGCCCAGACGCATGCAGTGGACAGGCTGATGGTTGGCGCCCACCATGCGCTGATGGAGATCGTGCAGGAGCTCGGGCGCTGGATCTGGTGGGCCGCCATCATCGGGCAAGGCATCGAGGCCAGGGACCGCGAAGAGCTCCCTCCTGCTGCTGAGCGGAGCCAGGTGCGTTTCGCTGACGCCGAGGAGTCTCAGGCAGCGGAGGACGCCACGGGCGAGGGGCCGATGGCCAAGCGGCCACGCCTGGAGAGCACCCGCTCGACAGACAGCAGCTCGGCGGCCCTCTCGGCCAGTGCAGTAGCCTTCAGCATCCTGGGACATGCCCTGTCCTATGCCTGCGCTGGAGAAGGTGAGGACACCCAGGAGCTCGTGGCATGCTCCAAGTGCGGCGCCTACATGACGCTGGGCGGCCGCTCAGGGGTTAGGCCTCGCCTCAAGGAGCGGTGCCCAGGCGACAAGACCGACAAGGACGGCAGGAACCAGCGCAGCCTGTGGCTACGAGGGCTCCATCCAGGAGGCAGGAGGCAGGAGGGGTCACGAGCTGCCAGGCACAGAGTGAAAGGAGAGAGCATCCCTGCGCTGCGCTCGCAGGGTCCAGTGCCTGAGCACGCGCAGGAGCGGTACCTGGAGTGGCTTGGCACTGCAGCGGAGCCAGCTGTAGACTCCTCGGCCACTGCGAGCAGTGCAGGCAACGCCCCAGCGGCAGCCGCGGAGCCGCAAGTGGCAGCGGGCCCAGGAGAGGCCCCAGCGGATGCGGTCGTCGCTGCGGCCGCTGCCAGCCTGCCCCTGCGGCGCCCAGCCGCAGCGAGAGCTGGGCGCCTCGGAGCCTTCGGGGTCATCGAGGAGGAGCTCGCCGCCGCGGCCGGCGCTGCAGGCGACGCCCTGGAGGACCGCAGGGTGCGCCGCCGCATGGCGCGCCGTGGCGGCCCGACCGTGAGTGAGTGAAGGATTGGCATCGCTGTGGCTCGCGCCAGCTGCTCCCTTTGGTGAGCAGGCTTCCGTCGCCCTCGGTGCTCGCGTGGGACTCGGCGTCTCTCGGGAACGCGGGTCCCGCCTGGCCCTGTCCGTGTTTTGCTTTGTCACCTTTGCCTTGAAGGCCCCGTCTTTAACTTTAACTTTAACACACAGGAGCACGGCAGAACACACAGGAGCACGGCAGAACACACAGGAGCACGGCAGAGCACGCAGGAGCACGGCAGAACACGCGGCAGAACACGCAATAGTACGGCAGGACTTTCAGGAGCACGGCAGACCACGCAGGAGCACGAGGCGCACGGCAGAACACACAGAATACATAGGAGCACGGCAGAACACACAGGAGCTCAGCAGAACACACAGGAGCACGGCAGAAAACACAAAACACACTCCGTAGCCATTTTGGCTCAAGGCCATGGAGAACCCGACGACCGCGAGTCGTTCGCGGCGCTCTGAGCGCGAGGGTCTCCGCGCTTTGGGCCAGTGCAATTCGAGTGTGTGCTCCCTGCTTTCACGGCGCGGAGGCGCAGCCCCGCGGCCTGCGCGGCAGTGGCCATGGCGAGGTCCCCGTGCAGTGGCGGCAGCGGCAGGCGCAGCAAGTCCTACTGGATGTGCAGCTGCGGCGAGTGGAACTGGGACTGGCGCACCTCTCGCCTGGGCTGCGGGCATGCGGCCCCGCCATGGGCGACGGGGACGCCCCCGCCCAAGGCGAGGCCCAAGGCAGACAAGGACGGCTGGGTGGATCAGCCACGTGGGCGCCGTGCCCAGAGGCAGGCCCGCGGAGCGGCCTCGCGGGCAGCATCCACCAAGTCGCAGACCTCGGCCTCGGCAGCAAGTGGGACGCCCAGCGGAGGAGGCGCCACGGCGATCGAGAGGCTCCAGGCGGCCGTCGAGCAGCTCGAGGCGCTGCAGGCAGAGCCCCCAGACGGAGTGGATGGCTGCTTCACCGACGTCGTGGCCAGCCAGCTGGAGGCGAAGCGCACGGAGCTGGTCAAGGCCCAAAAGGCTGCAGCGGAGCAGAAGGCCTCGTCCCTGCCACGGGCGACGCGGCTCCACAGGGAGGCGAACGCCATCAGCAAGGGCGAGAAGCGGCTCCGGGCAGCCCGCCTGGAGCTCGAGCAGAAGCAGGAGGCGCGCGACCTCGTCGAGGCCCAGCTCCACCAGGCCCAGGAGAAGCTCGCGGAGCTCGACGAGGAGGTGGAGGAGGCGAGCCTGGCGCTCCAGGCGCTCGAAGAAGCAGCCCGCGAGGAAGCCGAGGCGATGCGCCGCCAGCGCGCAGCCGAGTGGACAGGAGCCAGCCAGGTACCAGGGCTCCTCATGCAGCTGGAGAAGTTGCCAGAGGCGTGGAGCACCAGCAACTTCGAGGTGGCCTGGGCGGCCATTCGCGCCCAGATGGAGGCAGTGCGGGCGCAGCTCGAGGGGGCACCATTGGCCTCCAAGCGCACGCCGTGGGCCGAGTCCTGCCCCATGGAGGAGAGCAGCAGCAACGTTGGCGGTCTCGCAGACTGCGGCGGCGTCTGGCAGCCCCAGCCAGCAGCGGAGCGAGGCCAAGCCGAGCGGTGCGGCAAGGCGCTGGGCGAGTGGCCAACGGTGGCCCAGGCGTGCAAGCGGGAGCTGGCGGCAGAGGCAGCGGACCTGGCTCCCCTGGCTGCTCATCCTGCTGGCAAGGCCGCTGGGAACCGCCTCGGAGGGGCACAGCCAGGGCCAGCGAGTGCGTAGCGAGGCCTGTGCGGCGGTCCTGGGCCTGCATGGGAACAGCACCGAGGTCGTCGAGAGCGGCTGGGCGGGGCTCCGCGGCATGGGCGTCCTCGTCCCGCCCTGGGACCAGGAACGCGCTGCAGGGCCCAGCGGTGTCCGCATCCTCCTGAGCACTGGAGAGAACTTAGTTGGGGGCATCGAGTTCGGCGCTAGCGAGTGGATCGAGCCCGTGGGCAGAGCAGGGGTACCTGAACCTCCTGAGGCGATGGCCAGGAGTGCGGGTCCGCAGCTGCCTACCGTGCAGCCACTCAGGGCGCGAGCTCAGAGACGTGAAGAGGCGGCGGCCAGGGGCGGGGCAGCCGCCACATGTGTGAGCCATACCTCGGCCGTCCGCGATGTGGTGCAGGCCCAGTGGATCGGCAACTGGCACCTCGAGTCGGAGAGGTACACGGTCATGGACCTCGGCGGCACTTCCAACCCCATGTTCCTCGAGCCGCGGCCGTGGCCAGGAGTCGAGGAGAACGCGACGCAGCGGCGAGCACGAGGAGGAGGTGACGGCGAACTCGACAGCGAGCAGTACGTCAATGGCTGGGCCGCGAGCAGCGGAGGGCTCCTTCCTGCCGAGGGGAACAACCTTGTGGCTTCAGCGGCGGCATCGGAGGCCCTGCAGGCTGGGGAGGTCCGCGGCGGCGGCGCTCCAGCTGCGCGGGTCCGCCTGGAGGACAGCCGCTCGACGGGGAGCAGCGCGGCAGCCCTCTCGGCCACCGCCGTCGCGTTCAGCGTCCTGGGGCACGTGCTCAGCTACGCCTGCGTGGACGAAGGAGAGGATACCCAGGAGATCGTGGCGTGCACCAAGTGTGGCGCCTACAAGGTGCTGGGCGGACACGCAGGAGGCAGGACTCGCCTGAAGATGCAGTGCCCAGTGCCCAGCAACCTGACCAACAAGTCGAGGGACCAGCGCAGCCTGTGGGAGCGAGGGCTCCACCCTGGTGGCAGGCCTCGAAAGGACAGGCAGAGGGCGAGAGCAGAGGGCATCCCTGCCTTGCGCTTAGGCACGCGAGGCTCGCTTGCTTGGGACTCGGCGTCTCTCGGGAGCTTTGGTCCCGCCTGGCCCTGTCCCCGTTTTCCTTTTTTGTCGCCTTTAAGGCCCCGACTATAACTATAACTAAAACACACAAAACACATAGGAACACGGCAGAACACACCGGAGCACGGCAGAAAACACAGGAGCCCGGCAGAACACATGGAACACGGCAGAGCAAGACCATGGCAGAACACACAGGAGCACAGCAGAGCACATGGGAACACGGCAGAACACGCAGGAGTACGGCAGAACATCCAGAACATTGATTCACACAGCCGCACGCACAGGCACATGCACACAGGCACACGCACACACAGGCACACACAGGAACACGCACACGCACACGCACACCAGACACATACAAACGCGCACACACACACACACACACACACACACACACGCACACACACGCACACACAGGGAGACAACACACGTCAACGCAGACCGCAGGAGCACGGCAGAGCAGCACGGCACAACACAGCAGTGCCGAAGACCACCACGCACGGACGCACGTGCACATACTCCACGCACGCACGCGCACGCGCAAACGCACGCACGCCGCGACAGACCTGCGCAGCGCACACTGAGAACGTAGGATATCTCATGAGCCCATGGCACAAAAGGACGCGTCCCGTTCTTGTCCGGACACAGGTCTCCACTCGTGCATTCTGCGCTCGAGCTGCCGAGCGGCATCGGCATTGGACGGCGGAGCCATTAGATGCCTCGGACGGGGTCGCCGTAGGGCCAGATGCTGATCTGGCCTTTGCTGGCCCAGGACTCGCAGGGGGGAGGAGGGCCTAGAGTTTGGGCCTTGGGGAGCGCAGGAGTGGGGATAGGGATAGGCGTAAGTCGGGCCTCCTACAGGGGGATTTTGGACGAAAAATGAAATAGAATCAAAACATACCCCCAAAATGGTCTAAAAATATTAGAAAGATCGTCCCCAGACGATTTTTGGACTACTTTTGAACATTCCCTCTGTAGAGGGACAGGCCCGACGTAAGGATAGGCACGGGGAGCGGGAGGAGGTGGCAGGCAGGACGTCAGACGAAGGAGGGAAATGGAGGGGTCGAAAAGGGAGGAGCGAGCAGGGAGGACAGGACGTCAGAGGAAGGAGGGAAATCGAGAAGTCGAAAAGGGAGGAGCGAGGAGGGAGGGGGCAGGGAGGAAAAAAGGAGAGGGCAGAGAGGAGGGAGGAGAGAGGAGGGAGGAGAGCGGAGGAGGAGGAGGAGGAGGAGGAGATGGAGAATGAGGAGGAGGGGGATGGGGAGGAAGAGGAGGAGGAGGAGGAGGAGCAGGAGGAGAAGGAGGAGGAGCAGGAGGAGGAGGAGGAGCAGGAGGAGGGGGGAAAAGGAGGGAGAGAGGAGGGAGGAGGGAGGAAGAGGAGGAGGTGGAAGAGGAGGAGAAGGACCAGTGTGAACCCGAGATTCATCAACGATGTTGGAATACACACCCTCCCCTCAAGCTCCATCTTCATAGGCCCCTACAAAAATTCGCTTCCAATGAAAAGAAAGCCCAGTTGGGGGACAACCGTGTGAAAATTCTGAAGCGTGCCAAAACACCATTTTCAGGACGTCAACGCCACGAGTCTAACTGAATGCTGCGCCTTGAAGATCCTGGATCGCGCCAGTCACCGCGAATCAACGTAACTGTTGCGCCCTGACAATCCTGAACCATGAGGAAGAATCTGGAAGGTTAACCACGAGAATATGCTAAACTCCTGTAAGCTGTTAACACGAATGTGCGCGGCGCTAAGGCGAGAGCCACAGTTTGAAAACGAACCACCTTTAATCCGTGAGACGATTGACATGTTAAATGCGACTGCGTGCGGCGCTAGGACGAGAGTCACATGTTGAAAACGAACCGCCTTCAATCTGCGAAACGTTTGCAAAGGTTTGAAACGAATGTGCACGGCGCTAAGGCGAGAGCCACAGTTTGAAAAGGAACCGCCCTAAATCTGCAGAGCTCTTTCAAACTTCTAACACGAATGCGCGCGGGACTAGGGCGAGAGCCACAATTTGAAAACCACCCGCCTTCAATCCGAAAACAACATGTTGAAAAGGAGACGCCCTCCATCTGCGAAGCTCTTCCACTTGTGGAAGACGAATGTGCGCGGCACTAAGACGAGAGCCACATTTTGAAAACCACCCAACCTCAATCCATTAAGGTCTCGCCAATGTTTAAAACGAATGTGCGCGGCGCGAAGGCGAGAGCCACATTTTGGAAGCAACCCGCCCTCCATATGCGAAACTGCTGCCAGCTTCTAAGTCTCAGGTTCATACGTGGTAAGAAAGTCTCAGGCGAAACGCCCGGCCCGCCTTTCTGACTGGCCTCAGAATACAACGGGGCGGAGTTTCCAATAAGGGACAGGAATGAAAAGGAGGAGGAGGAGGAAAGGAGGAGGAGGAGGAGGAGGAAGAAGAAGAGGGGAGGAGGAGGAGGAGGAGGAGGAGGAGGAGGAGGAGGAGGAGGAGGAGGAGAGGAGGAGGAGAAAGGAGGAGGAGGAGGTGGAGGAGGAGAGGAGGAGGGGATGATGATGATGATGATGATGATGATGATGATGAGGAGGAGAGGAGGAGGAGGAGGAGGAGGAGGAGGAGGAGGAGGAGGGAGGTGGAGGATGGCTGCATCCTTCTGGACTCCAATGCCCGCAGCGTCGTCGCCAGGTGGAGGAAGAAGAGGAGGAGGAGAAGGACGAGAAGGAGGAAGAGGAGGAAGAGGAAGAGGCAGCGATCAATATCGGTCCTGGCGGCGGCGGCGCCGCCACCCGAAGCGGGAGACTGCTCCGCCGGGCCGCCACCAGCCTTCCGCCTACCGCCGGCCATCGCAACCGGCGGGCCCCCGCGGGGCGGGGGCGCCCCGCTCCTGGCCCCTCCTCGAGGAGGGAGGTGGGAGGAGGGAGGAGGGAGGAGGGAGGAGCCTCTCGGGGACTTCGTGCAAAAATAAGCAGGGGGTGAGTTTGAAGAAAAAGAACACTAAAATCCCACTGCTTCAACTCATGGGATCATGGGATCTCGATTTCTAAAATGGTTTCAGGGGCAGCCAAGAGGACACGAAGAAGATGCAAGAGAGTGCCAAGACAGCGTCAGAGAGTTCAACAGCATTTCCGAAACATGTGTGCATGTGACCTCAAAGTCTTGATGGGGCTCGAGGAAGAGGATAGGGACTTTTGGAAGCCTCCTGGGAGCCTGGAGAGCCGCCCGAAAGCTATCCTGGGTTGCTTGGGAGCTTCTTGGGCCTTTCTTTGACGTTCTGGTGGCTTCTTGGGGTCGTCTTGGGCTGTCTTTGGGCATTGTGGGGGCTCCCCGAGAGGTCGGGAAGCGCGGTACCGGGAGCGCACTCGAGATGTGAGCGAGGTGGAGGACGCCCCAGGAGGGGGCCTGGCGCATTTGTTACATATACAGATATGTGTATATCTATAGACATATAGATATAGACATACATATATAGAGATACATGCATGCATGCATGCATGCATGCATGCATGCATACAGACAGACAGACAGACAGACAGACAGACAGACAGACAGACAGACAGACAGACAGACAGACATACATACACCTTCACATACTACAAATATATACACAGACGTGCAATGCACTTACACCTACATACATATGCGAACCCGTAACATACATCTAACATGTATGAATATGTATACGTGTGTATATGTTATGGCACACAAGTACACACAGTAAAGGGGGCGCCGTCGAAGCCTCGGGAACCCCCGTGCGGCCGTTCGGGGCGAGGTCCACCGACTCCGGCGGTAGACTTGTGCGCAGACGTCGCGTTTTTCACGGAATATTGGAGCCCCCTCGGGCTCCCGAATGAAAACCGATGGGTTTTCCCGTGGGGTCGTCCAGAACCATGCAGAAATCGTAGGTTCTGGGATATTTCTACATAATCTGCGCGGCACGGGGGCGCCGAAAACGTATCCAGAATCGGCGGCGCAACAGACACATCAATAAAATCCGTGTGTTCAGCGCGATGTCAGACGGCCCCACGGGAAAGAATGATGGGTTTATGCAAATTTCTGTGCTTCAAACACGGAACGACCGCACCGCGGCGGCTGCGACAACGCCTCGCACCCGCACCCAACGCCCGACATTTCCAGCACAGCGACGACGACGGCGACGAAGACGCTCGAGGGGTTCCCAAAAGACCTCCACAACGCCCTCCCTCGATCAAAACGCGCCAGGGCACACGTTTTGTCAACAAGGTTGTCGTCACGTTGTTTCTGGAGCACCAAGGGTCCCGCCCCAACTGGGGGACACATTCTGGCGGGGACCGCGGGAGCGCCTCCTGTCACCACCTTCCTAATGTCCCCCAAGGTCGTCGTCGTTGTGAGCACGCGGCGACGACGACCACGACGGCGGCGACGACGACGATGGCGATGACGACGACGACGATGGCGATGACATCGAGGGCCATCGCAATTATCCCGTCCCTTTCCCCAAGAGGTCCCAAGAGGCCTCAGAATGCCCCCCCGGGAGGCCCCAGAAGGTCCCACGAAACCACAGGAGGCCCCAAGAGGCCCCAGACGAACCCCAGGAAGCCCCAGAACGGCCCGAGGAAGCCCCAGGATACCCGAGGACGCCCCACGAAACCACAGGAGGTCCCAGGCCAGGGGGCCCCAGAAAGGGCCCCAGGAAACCCCAAGAGACCCCAGGAGGTTTCAGAAGGCCCCAGGAGGTCTCCAGAGACCCGAAGCCCCAGAATATCCCAACAGGCCCCAAGAGGCCTGAGGCCCCAGGAGGTCTCAAGAGGTAGCAGGAGCCCGCAAGATGAGATCCCCACCTGGCCGATCGAACGAAACGGGGGGGACGCAAGGAGAGAATGATGGGGGAGAGATGGCGGGGGAGGGGGTTTGGGGGAGGAAGAGGAGGACCAGTGCAAACCAAAGATGGACAAACGACGATGCAACAAACATTCCCTCAAACTTCCCGCTTCATAATTCCCATTCTTGAAACGTACCCGACAGACAACCTTGGGACGCCCACCACCCGAAACTTGTTGAAATTGTTGCAAACGTTCACGACGAATGCGCGCGGCTCCAACGCGAGAGCCACATCCCCCCCAAACAAGACACCCCACCTCCATCTATGAAACTGTTGCATTTGTTTGAGACAAGTGTACGCGGCGCCAATGCGAAAGCCACACACTTAAAACGAACCGCTCTCCATCCTCCAAGCTGCTGCAAAAGTTTACAACGAATGCGCGCGGCGCAAAAAGCGAAAACCACAGTTCGAAAACGGCCCACCCCCCATCCGTGAAACGATCGACACGCTTTAAACGATGACGCACGGCTCTAAAGCAAGAACCACATTTTGAAAACGGCATGCCCTCCATCCGTCAGACTGCTGCACATGTTTGAAACGAATGTGCGCTGCGCTAAAGAGGGGAGACACGTTTTGAAAACGATCCGCCCTCCGCCCGTGAAACTGCTGCAAATTTCAAAACTCTGAACAGGTGAAGGGGTCTCAGGCGAAACGCTCCGCCCGCCCTACCGACACGTCTGGAGGTCCGACAAGGAGGAGGCACTCGCGAGGAACAAGGATGGGGGAGGAAGAGGAGGAGGAGGAGGAGGAGGAGGAGGAGGAGAAAAAACAGAAGAAGGGAGAAGAACGGGGCGAACCAACTGGATGTATAAGCCTGCACCGAGCCCGTGGGTCTCGGCCCAGTGTGATGCACAGGCACCCCCACCAGGCCAGAACCAAAGA